TGAATATTCTGCGTTCAGCAGTATAGGCTAAATACCAAATATTTGTATGTTGCATCTCTAATTTAGAAGGAGCAATTGTTGTTTATTTTTTAAAATTTAATTTTTTTAATTACAATTTTGCAGTGTTGAGCAAAATCTTGTATGTCTACACAATTTAAAAACTCCTTGAAAATTTTTTTTTTGCAATAACGGACCCTATTTGCACAAATTCATAAAAGCGGACCCTGGTTGAAAGAATGTGAGTAATTTTTTCACAATTTCACGAAAAACGGACCTTTCACAAAATGTCTGGACAGACCCCTGGTTTAAGACAAGAAAATGTCAATGATTAATATAATTTAATTATTCATTCTAGAACTTCCCTTTGTGTTTAGTTAAGAAATGTTTTCTCGTTGTTTTTGTTCAGGTTTTGCTACCAGGACGAGATCTGTCATCCAGCTACCTAGCGATGATGGACAACCTTGTTCTCCGGAATTGGAGCAGAGGAAACCATGTTCTTTTAAGGCCTGTTACCATTGGAAGAGGTCCTCATGGTCACCATGCAACCTCGAAGTGAGTATCTTAAAATCTATTTTGTTTTCTATTTGTTTCGTTGCGCATGTATTTTAACAGGGATCTGTTTAGAAGAAATTTGGGTCAGTTGACGGAATCTTCACAAAATATTTTAACCTAAAAACGGACTCTTCACAAAATAATTTATCTTTTAATCGGACCCTTCACAAATTTGTTTATCTTCATTATTGTTTTGTTAATCGAATAAACCCTTCCCAGGGCAGAAAACAAGAAAGATGGATGTAAATGAATTAAGTTTCCTCTTCGACAGGCGATTCTTCCATTATTCGTCCGAAATGAATATTCTGTGTTCAGCAGTATAGGCTAAATACTAAATATTTGCATATTGCATCTCTAATTTAGTAGCATCAATTGCTGTTTATTTTTGAAAATTTAATTTTTTTTATTATAATTTTACAGTGTTGAGCATAGTGTTGTATCTATCTACAGTTTAAAAACTCCTTGAAATTTTTTTTTTGCAATAACGTACCCTATTTGCTCAAATTCACAAAAGCAGGACCCTGGTTGAAAGAATGTGACTTAACGTTTATTTTATATTCACAAATCACGAGTAATTTTTTCACAATTTTACAAAACAGGACCTTTCACAAAATGTCTGTGCAGACCCACGTTTAATTTTTTTAAATTTATGTTTGAAATATACAGGGGTCTGTCCAGACATTTTGTGAAGGGTCCGTTTTTGTAAAATTGTGAAAAAATAACTCGTAATTTGTGAATATAAAATAAACGTTAAGTCACATTCTTTCAACCAGGGTCCGCTTTTGTGAATGTGTGCAAATAGGGTCTGTTATTGCAACAACAAAAATTTTCAAAAAGTGTTTAAATTGTAAAGACATACAAGATTATGCTCAACACTGTAAAATTATAATTAAAAAAATTAAATTTTAAAAGATAAACAGCAATTGCTGCTACTAAATTAGCGATGCAAGATACAAATATTTGGTATTTAGCCTATACTGCTGAACGCAGAATATTCATTTTGGACGAATAAGGGAAGGAGCGTCTGCCGAAGACAAAATTTAGTTCGTTTATATCTGTCTTTCTTTCCCCCTCCTTCCTGGGATGGGTTTATTCTATTAACAAAACAATAATGAAGATAAACAAGTTTGTGAAGGGTCCGATTAAAAATAAATTATTTTGTGAAGTGTCCGTTTTTATGAAAAGATATTTTGTTAACGGACCCAAATTTCTTCTAAACAGACCCCTGTAATACATTCATAATTCTTTTCATTATATTCACCATATTAAAGCAAACTTGAATGATGCTGAGTTCCGGCAAGTAACCGATTTTTAACATTGGGCCGTTTAAATTTGAGTCATGTTTTACAAAGGTCGTTTAACTTTGTAATTAGTTAAGGGGTTTAATTGCAAAAATTTGATAAATGATATGAGAGGTGCTACTTGTGTTCATTGGTCAAGGCATTGTCATTGGAAAGTATTGTCATTGTAAAGCACTAGAATTTTATTCCCGGTGGCGGTCAGAATGATGGGTACCAGTTTGCCTGGGTTAAGACAACATTTCCATCATCACGCCTTTGATCACGATATTATAGAGCAGGGCTGTCCAACTTACATGAGGCCGGGGGGCACAATTAAAACACCAGTCAAATGGCGGGCTACAACTTTGTCAAAATTTTATATAGGACTCTTTTCTATTTGAAGGAACATTAAATATTACTGTCAGATTTTTATCAAGTTGTTCAAAACAAAAGTATTGAATTACAAATAATAATAAATATTTTCTTGGATGTAAAACCTAAGAAAATTTTTTTTGCACCATTGTTATATGTATTAAGTTTCACAGAAACGAAGAAATTATTATTATTTTTTTTAACGAAAGAAAAGTATTTTAAACCCATATAATATTTTTACGAAAATTATCCTCAAAAAATGTCAACTAATATATTTTAGTTCGCGGGCCACAAAAAAAAGGCTTCGCTGACAGCCAGTTGGTAACCACTGTTATAGAGTCTTAACATCCATAATATCCTTGCTCACAATGGGGTGTTGAGGAACTGCTCTACTTTATAAATTATTTTAAGTGTAATTATTTTAATTAATGAATAATAATTAAATTGTGTATTTAATTTTTCCTTTTCCAGTCAGCTGACTGCGGTTATGGCTTACGACATCGTGTTGTAGAATGTGTACGCTACGATGGATTAGTAGTAGATAAAATGAACTGCCTAACCGTTAATCTTACATTTTCAATAACTAGTTGGTTGGATTCATCCTGGCTTTCATTATCTTCTGATGACAGTGTAAGTAATTAGGTACATTAGTTTGTGAAATTAGCTATTACATTTACCTTTTAATTGCGTTTTGTTTGTGAGAATAGAATCTTGCAATTCAACAACTTTTCCACTAGTTAGAGCACTTCTATGGTACGAGTCTGCAGTACATGTTTCAATCGTTTCTTGATCGCTATATAAGCTGAAATTATCATAAATTTGAGACAAAAGTTCCAACTAACTAGAGAACTCAAATCTCCAAAGATCGAAGCTCTGTACTGTGCAACGATACATGTTTTTAATGATTTCTAATTGCTACTAACAGAAATTACATTTTTTTCTGCTGACATTTTTTCGTCGACACGTTGCTGCAAATGACGGCTATAACCGTCCAATTTTGGACGATGTTTAGGCAAATGACGACAAACTATGTCCGTCCTGCATATTTTAATTGATAACAAAAGGAAAAGAAGTGTACTAATGCATTTATTTTTTGAGCCGTGATAGCTGATAGGATAGAGTGCTCAGGGGTCTGTTTAGAAGAAATTTGGGTCCGTTAACGGACCCTTCACAAAATATCTTTTCTTAAAAACGGACCCTTCACAAAATATTTTAACTTAAAAACGGACCCTTCACAAAATNCTACATTTCTCAATGTTATCCATTATTTATTAAATGAAATTATGCGGTAAATAAATAATGAAAATTTGCCTACCTTTCACTAATTCGATGGCTGGAGATATGCTGCGTTATTTCTGATGCGATGCGTGGTCAGTCCAATAATGAATGCGGGATTTTTATTGTAAATTTGCGATATACTGGATCTTTACTCTCCTGATCGTTCGGACCAGATGTTCTGCGATAGCTTGCGGGTGTATAAAATCAAACTTGGACAATGTGGACTGTATAAAATTTATTTTGCGGGTGTGCTGGTAGCGCTGCGGAGATGCAAAAACACGAGCGTGTTTGCTCTTTGGTAGTTTTACATTAACTGACTCTTGGCTGAGAACAATGACGCCAAGAAGCCAACAGGCGTAGCAACAAAATAGTTAGGTTTTTCCTTATTATACACGCTAGAATTTTTCAAAATCATTTCTTTTAACTTGAAAAAGAGTCAACCCTAAATTTGCAATTATAAATAAGTATATTAGGCTGTGGGAAGTATGTTTCCCACCAAATTTATTAAATTTTAAATGTATATAGATAGAAATCTATTTTCCTACCTATGGTTTGTCATGTGCTGATAACTTTATAAAATATAAAAAAAATCAATGAAGGGCTTGGCTTTGTTTATACAAATGTGAGTAACAGTAAAGGTTGGCGTAAACAGTAAAGGTTAAAAAAAACTTTTTCAAGAAATTTTTAAATTGCAAAGTCATACAAGATTATGCTCAACACTGTAAAATTATAATTAAACAAAATTAAATTTTAAAAAATAAACAGCAATTGCAGCTACTAAATTAGCGATGCAACATACAAATATTTGGCCTATACTGCTGAACGCAGAATATTCATTTCGGACGAATAAAGGAAGAAGCGTCTTCTGAAGACAAAATTTAGTTCGTTTACATCTGTCTTTCTTTCCCCCCTTACTGGGAAGGGCTTATTCGATTAACAAAACAATAATGAAGATAAACAAATTAGTGAAATCCGAATTATAAGAAAAATTATTTCGTGAAGGGTCCGTTTTTAAGTTGAAATATTTTGCGTAGGGTCCGTTTTATGAAAAGATATTTTGTGAAGGGTTCGTTAACGGACCCAAATTTCTTTTAAACAGACCCCTGAACACGCTATACTTCATTTTATTAATCAGTTTCAATCCCCAAAATAATTTAACCTAACATTACTAGAAAGAAAAAATAGCTTGCATAGAGTTAAAGCTAATTACAGTACAAATCGGAAAAATTTATAATATTCAATTGTCCTATACTCAACAAATTGTCTGTACTATTTTCAAAAATTATGTTAATTACTTTAAAAAATGATTAACATCATAACTAAACTCCACATTAGTCACCTTTTGTAGTTTAAATATCATTTACCCAAACAGCGTATCTACAAATTATTACTCTTCGTAAGGAAAGTTCTATATGAATCAGAAAATTTTCTCTTTATTATATTTGAAGGAATAATATTTTTGAAGCAGCAAGAGCATTTGTAAAAGATTCTAACGCAAAATAAGGTTTCTAAAAAACTTTTTTTCTTTCTTTTTTTGTAAATTGGAAATAGTTTTCTATTCTTTTTACAATTTGAAATTCCCTTTTAGAATGATGTACCATACTGAAAGTATAGTAAAAGCTAAATTGTTATTAAACTACTATTTCGCTTTCTTAATAATAAAAAGGAATTTTCGAGATTTGATTTCATTTCAACTTTTCAGATGAAATGAAATTGCTTTGGGATGGGGGTTCTTTACTTTCAGTTAGTTTTAAGGAGTTTTTTTTTCGATTCATCTCTTATTTATTAAGCTCTAATTTTATTTACGTTTATTTTAGACATTCCGGAAATTCCCTCTACTTTTATAACGTCTCATTATTATTTAGACATTCGGACAAATTCCTTTCAGTTTCAGGGGTCTGTTTAGAAGAAATTTGGGTCCGTTAAAGGACCCAGCACAAAATATTTTAACTCTAAAACGTACCCTTCTCAAAATTATTTATCTTTTAATCGGACCCTTCACAAATTTGTTTATCTTCATTTCGATCGAATAAGCCCTTCCCAGGAGGAAAAAAAAGAAAGACGGATGTAAATGAGCTAAGTTATTAAAATTATTAACATTGTCTGTTATTGTACCATCGTCAACAGCTACTGTTGAAAGGTTATTTTCGAAAATGAATCTTGTTTTGCGCTGAATTGCTGACGAGGATGAAACGAGAGACACTAGATAGAGATTTACGCATTATTGTAAATGGGCCAAAATAATTGACTGGTGCTGAGTGTTCAGGTATTATAGATATTTTCAAATCTACTGTCAATTGATGTATATTGCTCTAATATTTTGTTAATTATGCTTTTCTGCTTTAATTCTAAGGGTAAATTTGATCTCATTTAATTTATATTATGTACCTTAACCTCTTTGAAGTAAAAAAAATAAATTATAAATTATAAATGCATACCTACCAAGTCTGCTGTTTTTTAACGAAGACTCCTGTATTTTACAACCATCTCCTGTATTCTCAAATTTCTCCGTATTTGTTGTTGAAATTAAAAAAAAAAGGGGGAAATAGGTGATAAAATATCCACTGATGGCAAAAATACTTATCTTATTCCTCAACAGATTGTGCTATTGCCAGTACTGCAGTATTTTGAGTGTTAATTGTTTAAGTCGAGTCATAAAGGCTCAGGGGATAGAGAGTTCGCTTTCCAATGAGGTGAACCCAGGTTCGAATCCCAGCGATGACTGGTCGGTAGAAATTCCGCATCCGGCTTGCATTGGCCACAGTGCTGACGTGAAATATCCTCAGTGGTAGACGGATCACGGGTTGGAGTCCCGTTGTAGTCAGGCTAACCGTGAAAAGCTTTCGTGGTTTTCCTCTCCATGTAACACAAATGTGGGTTAGTTCCATTAAAAAGTCCTCCACGAAGGCAAATTTCTCCCAATACTCGATCCAGGAGTTCCCTTGTCTTCTGGATTGGGTTTAAAATTACAAGGCTACGTAGTTGAACATCAGTTGTCGTAAGCCCAAAATTGGGTCGGGGAGTAAAATCTCCGTTATTTTATTTCTCCAATGTTGGCAGATATGTAAATGTAGAAATTCTATTTCTAAGGAAATATTTCTACTTCTACAAATATCGTGTGCACATTCTTATTGATATTAAATGATATTTTTTTGTAAATAAATAATTGAGCAATATATCATTCATAAAATTATTTGATAAAATATTATGTAAATAAAAAATAACTCATGTCAATTTTTTTTAAATAAAATTTTATAAATTTAAAAATTGTTTAAGTTTACTTAATGTGCAACACATTAGAAGTGATACATAACTAAGTTGTGTTATTTAAAATATGTCAATTGAAATTATTAAATATGCGAGTGATTTTGTTTCCAATAATCTTCCAAAATGAATATTCCGTGTTGTGCAGTAAAGGCTAAATACCAAATATTTGTAGGTTGCATCTCTAATTTAGTAGCAGCAATAGCTGTTTATTTTTGAAAATTTAATTATTTTAAATTATAATTTTACAGTGTTGAGCATAATCTTGTATCCATTTACAATTTAAAAACTCCTTGAAAAACTTTTTTTCAACAACAAGGCCCATTTTGCACAAATTCACAAAACAGGACCCTGGTTGAAAAAATGTGACTTAACGCTTATTTTATATTCACAAATTACAAGTAATTTTTTCTCAATTTTGCAAAAACAGGACCTTTCACAAAATGTCTGGGCAGACCCCTGATTTGTTACTGTTAATTTTACCAAAACCATCACCATATCGTTTCGGTACAAATTACCGAGCTTATTGGTGTTGACGTTTAGCCAAAAACACGGCAAATTTTGCCATATTCTTGTAATTTTAACCATACTTTTTTTTCTCAGTGTGGTTCAAAATAAGTTTGACAAATGCATTGCATGCTTACAAAAGAATCTAAAATAAAATTGGAGTAAAGGGTCGTAAGCGCTTTTGCGAATCATCCAGATGGGATTATAAGTTAGTTATACGTAGTATAAAATTATTATTAAGAAAAGTCTTTTTCGCTTCTTCTGCACTGTTTTTCCATAAATGTAACCACTTACGACCAGAAAGATGCTCAATGATTTTGTGAGACACCTGGAAATACTTCGCAATCAATTTCTTTAAATAATTCTACATTGAATTGTGTTTAAGACATGAAAATGTCAATGATTAACATAATTTAATTATTCATTCTAGAACTTCTCTTGTCTTTAGTTATGAAATGTTTTCTCATTGTTCTTGTTCAGGTTTTGCTACCAGGACGAGATCTGTCATCCAGCTACCTAGCGATGATGGACAACCTTGTTCTCCGGAATTGGAGCAGAGGAAACCATGTTCTTTTAAGGCCTGTTACCATTGGAAGAGGTCCTCATGGTCACCATGCAACCTCGAAGTGAGTAACAATAAGCAGTATCTTAAAATCTATTTTGTTTTATATTTGTTTCGTTACACACGTATTTTAATTTTATTAAATTTATGTATGAAATCAGGGGTCTGTTCAGAAGAAATTTGGGTCAGTTACCGGACCCTTCACAAAATATTTAAACTTAAATTATTTTGTGAAGGGTCTGTTTTTATCTTTTAATCGAATAAACCCTTCAAAGGAATGGGGGGGGGGAGAAAGACAGATGTAAAAGAACTCAATTTTGTCTTCCGCAGACGCTTCTTCCTTCATTCGTTCGAAATGAATATTCTGCGTTCAGCAGTATAGGCTAAATACCAAATATTTAAATATTGCATCGCTAATTTAGTAACTGAAATTGCTGTTTATTTTCTAAAATTTAATTTCTTTTTAATTATAATTTTACAGTGTTGAGCATAATCTTGTATGCCTTTACAATTTAAAAACTCCTTGAAAATGTTTTTTTGCAATAACGGACCCTATTTGCACACATTCACAAAAGCGGACCCTGGTTGAAAGAATGTGACATAACGTTTATTTTATATTCACAAATTACGAGTCATTTTTTCACAATTTTACAAAAACGGACCTTTCACAAAATGTCTGGACAGATCCCTGGATAAGACATTTCCATCATCATGCCTTTGATCACGATATTATAGAGCTTTAACATCCATAATATCCTTGCCCACAATGGGGTGTTGAGGGGCTGCTCTACTTTATAAATTATTTTAATTGTAATTATTTTTATTCATGAATAATAATTAAATGTATTTAATTTTTCCTTTTATAGTCGGCTGACTGCGGTTATGGCTTACGACATCGTGTTGTAGAATGTGTACGCTACGATGGATTAGTAGTAGATAAGATGAACTGCCTAACCGTCAATCTTACGTTTTCAATAACTAGTTGGTTGGATTCATCTTGGCTATCATTATCTTCTGATGACAGTGTAAGTAATTTGGTACATTGGTTTTTGAAATTGGCTATTACATTTACATTTTGATTGCGTTTAGTTTGTGAGAATAGAATCTTGCAGTTCAGCAACTTTCGCACTAGTTAGAGCACTTAAATCTCTATCGTACGAGTCTACAGTTCATGCTTCAATCGTTTTTTGTTCGCTATATAAGCTGAAATTTTCATGAATTTGAGACAAAGTTCCAACTAACAAGAGAACTCAAATCTCCAAAGCAGCTCTATACTGTGCGACGATTCATGTTTTTAATGATTTCTAATTTTTACTAACAGAAATTACATTTTTTTCTGCTGACATTTTTTCTTCAACATGTGCAAATGCAAATGACGGTTTTAACCGTCCGGTTTTGGGCGATGTTTAGGCAAATGACGGCTATAGCCATCCGATTTTGGACAATGTTTAAGCAAATGACGGCTATAACAGTCCGGTTTTGAACGGTGTTTAAAGAAATGACGGCTATAACCGTCCAATTTTGGACGATGTTTAAAGAAATGACGACTATAATCGTCCGATTTGGGACGATGTTTCGCAAATGATAATAGACTATATCCGTCCTACATATTTTAATTGATAACAAAAGGAACATGATTAGTAAGAAGTGTACTAATGCATTTATTTTTTGGGCAGTGATAGCTTATAGGATAGAGTGTTTGCTTCTCAATTAAGTGACCCGGGCTCGAATCTTCGCGATAGCTGGTCGATCCGAATTCCGCAACCTGCACGCACCAACCACAGTGTTGACGTAAAATGTCCTCAGTGGAATACAGACCAAAGTGTTAGAGTCCCCTCACTTATCACTAACCGTGGAAGTTTTTCGTGGTTTACCTCTCAATGTAACGCACATGCTAGTTAGTTATACCATAAATTCCGCTACGAAAGCAAATTTCTGCCAATACTTGAACTAAGAGCTTTCTTACAGGGCTACAGATACTTGATCTCCCAATACTTGATCTAAGAGCTTTCTTACAGGGCTACAGATACTTGATCTATGAGCTTTCTTACAGGGCTACAGATACTTGATCTCCCAATACTTGATCTAAGAGCTTTCTTACAGGGCTTGATCTCCCAATACTTGATCTAAAAGCTGCCTTACAGGGCTACAGATACTTGAACTAAGAGCTTTCTTACAGGGCTACAGATACTTGATCTAAGAGCTGTCTTACAGCGCTACAGATACTTGATCTAAGAGCCTTCTTACAGGGCTACAGATACTTGATCTCCCAATACTTGATCAGCAGTGTATAATTGCTCCAAAAAATTTGCAAGTGTGTCTTTAAAACACGTTCTTAAAAATTAAAGTAATTTGAATGAAGAGAAATATGACAGTGATTATTACATTCTCGGTGCATTTCGGGTCTGTAGTTTTGAATAGTGTCATTTTTACTGCTTGCAATTACGTAAACCGATTCAAAATAAGTGATTTATAAAGTATAAATAACCCTACTTACAAGTAAAACCCCCTAACTGCACCTAAAATGAAACTCAATAATAACTCAGTGTTTTCACTACATCACGAGAATCTCGCATATTTTTTTCTTTTCTCGCATTAAAAAATGATTAACGCGAGAAGTTCGCGCCCTCTATTAATCAATTTTAAAATGCGGGAATCTCTCAAATTTTGGAAAAAATTTCGTCCTACGCCATTTTGAAAAATACATGAAAACAGCTACGGCAAGTGTTGAGAAAAAAATGAGTCCTGTGTAATAATTTGTTTAAAGTTAGCGCTATTTTTAGCTGTTAATGAATTACCAAACTCCCTCATCGACAATTTACAGCAATTTGCAAAAGTTGAAGTCTGTGAAAACTATGCTGGAAGACCTAGCAAGGAGTATGAACATTGAAATAACTTCAACGAACTTCACTATTCTATAACAGAAATAATTCAAAAGCGCCTACGCAGGCAGATGTAGAGGATAGGAAAGTGTGTGCACAATGCTACAAATTTAATTAGTGATTCCGAATAGTTCAGCATCTGTTGCAAGATCGTTTAGCACCCAAAACCGAATTAAAATAAAATATCGCAACAGATTGACTGATGAGCATTTGAGCAACCTAATGAGAATAGCTGATGAAAAAGTAGATATGGAACATTTTACATTTGCCATGAAAATATTCAATGGTTTAGAAATTAGAAAGTGTTAAAAATGTATTATACATTAAATAAATTTTTTTTCATAGTCTATTCGTGATTTTTTTTTATTTTATTTTATTTTTAGAAATCTCCCTTAACTTTTTGAAATCTCACCCTGTTTTTGAGAAAGGATGAGAAATTCTCTCCCATTTTTCTTCTGTAATGAAAACAACTGTTCAAAAAGATTGCAATCACATCATTAAAAGACGTTTATAATGATAAAAATGGTTCCAACGAGGGGAAAAAACAACAACTAAAGACATTCAATATCCAATTTAATACAATCTGTATTTTTATCCCTTTTCTTTATACGATGTTATGACGTATAAAAATGCCCATTACAGCATGAAGAAGAGATATGTCACGTACCTTGTCCGGGGGACTGCATTATGACAGAATGGACACCATGGAGTCACTGCCAAAAGAACTGTCGAGTCGGACAAATCGGTAGGATACTTTTATTTCTTTTCCCCCCAAAACGTTCTTTTTTTATTTTACCCCTAAAATCTTGGCATTTGTATTCCTTCGGCGCACCATTATGGGAAATAGCTGTGTTTGTAAACACAACGCTTATAGAATAAATTTGCGAATTCCCATATTTTTTGGACTGTTTTAAAAAATAGTTGGTTTATATTTGTTTGTGTTTGGAATTATTAATAAAAAATTCACTTCAGTTGTACGTAAATATACATTCTATGTGAGTATCTTAAAGTCTATTGTGTTTTCTATTTGTTTCATTGCACATGTATTTTAACAGGGGTCTGTTTAGAAGAAATTTGGGGTCAGTTGACGGACCCTTCACAAAATATTTTAACTTAAAATCGGACTCTTCACAAAATAATTTATCTTTTAATCGGACCCTTCACAAATTTGTTTATCTTTATTATTGTTTTGTTAATCGAATAAAGCCTTCCCAGGAAGGGGGAGAAAGACAGATGTAAACGAACTAAATTTTGTCTTCGGCAGACGCTTCTTCCTTTATTCGTCCGAAATGAATATTCTGCGTTCAGCAGTATAGGCTAAATACCAAATATTTGTATGTTGCGTCGCTAATTTAATAGCTACAATTGCTGTTTATTTTTTAAAATTATTTTTTTAATTATAATTTTACAGTGTTGAGCATAATCTTGTATGTCTTTACAATTAAAAAACCCCTTGAAAAAGTTTCTTTGCAATAACGGACCCTATTTGCACAAATTAACAAAAGCGGACCCTGGTTGAAAGAATGTGACTTAACGTTTATTTTATATTCACAGATTAGGAGTAATATTTTCACAATTTTACAAAAACGGACTTTTCACAAAATGTCTGGACTCACCCCTGTTATATTAAAAATAGGGCAAATCCATCGAAAAAAATTTCAGATCTTCAAATATTTGTAAGAATAACTTCTCTTGAATGATTTGTATCACTTTGCTTTCCAGCTGGAAAATAAATTCGAAATCTCTTAAGAAAATGTTATGAAATTTTTTTCTTTTTCTATTTACTTTTTTCAAAACATCGAAATTCCTAACAAAAAAAATCCTAATTTTATTCAAATGCTTAAAAAAAAAGGAAAGAACTTACTTTAATCGTGATAATTTTAAAACATATTTAGTTGAAGAATTTGTTTTAAAAACAAAACGTGTGATTTATGCTTTGCCAAAAGTTCTAAAACTGTTTTCCATAAGCAGGTGTTTCATTTTTTTTAAAAAAAATAGCAGTGAGCTTTTTTAAATTTTTACGCTAAAAATTTTAAAAATACGTGTAAATCAGATTTTTTAATTTAAGTCAAATAATGCCTCTACATATTTTCAAAGGAAAAATTATTATGTTAGTTTTTTTATGAATAATAAAATTACTTTTAAAGCAGATTTATAATTTTCAAAATCCAATTTTTCACAAACGTTGTTTTTTATTTATGATGTATTATTTTCCTTATTTATTTTTTTAAAAGTATAAATTGTTGTGACATCTCTTTTAAATTTCATTCTAGTTGGTTACAGAACAAGTTCCAGAAAAGTTCTGTTTGCACCAGATTATACAGTTGATTCTTCTTGCCCAACCCTATTACAGAAAACTAAACCTTGTTGGAGTAAGTGGGTTCAATCTATAAATATAAATTAAAAGTAATAAATTAAATATAAATTTACTTGATTTTTTAAGCACCAGTAAATTTTAGTATTTCGTCTTTTAATTAAAAAAAATATTTTCATTGAGAATTCAAGTTTTAATTTACCTTCCTTAATAACAATTAAACTTTCGGACAAATTTTTAAAAGGAGAATCTAAAAGTAAATTTGACGAAATATAAAATTTCAAGAAGATTGACGAAAGTTTTTTGTAAATTTTCATTTGATGTATCGGATATATGTGGAAGTTAATAATATATTTTCTCGAAGTTTTAGTTTAAACGACTATTTCTACAGTATCCACAAGTAAAAACATGCTTGCATCCTTAAAAAATGGACATAAATGTTTCATTATTTCACTATAATTATCATCTTAAAATACTTGCATTCAATTTTCATTTTAGTATATAGCGATACAAAAAATTTACATGACCTGATGCCAACAACATGAATATTTTTAAACTTAAAATTATTAAATAAAAATCTATGTTTTAGTGATTTTCTTATAAGGGAATTATAAATGTAAGATTAAAATGTTTATTTCATTAGGTGATGATTGCAATTTTTTTCGATGGAGATTGCTTAATAATTCATTAACATGTGAAGGTAAAGATGGAATCATTGTTGAGGGTAAATATATATATATTTTATTACTTATACTTTAATATATATATTTTAATATACATGTTTTTTATATATATACTTTTTTTTACTCATCATCTATTAATGACCAATGAATTTAATTTATGTTTTGAAATATTTCTGATATATTTTTTATTTGTATTACCCATTTCTGCTACCATAGCTTCACTTTTTTATCTTTGAACTTTTCTGAATTTTAAAATCAATGTTTTTTTACGCTTTTGAGCATAATATTTTAAAGCGATTTCTTCCTATCACAATTTTAAATATTTTTCTTTCAAAAAAAGTCTTTGAAAAGATATGAATAAATAAAATGATCTCTTTCTGTTACATTCACACTTTGCTCTCAATGGCCGTTCAACGCACGCTCAAAAAAAAGGTGTTACTTTTTCTAGATAAGTAGTTTAAATTTATGAAAACGCGAAAAGATGGACACGAAAGTGTGGCAAATTTAATACGGAAACATACTTTCTACACTTATGCAGGGTTAGTCTGAACGACACGACAAAACCGGGTAATAGAATGCATATACATGAGACGGATTCGTCAGAGAATGTATGATCTTACCACAAGCAGTGAGAAGTTAAAAGAAAGTTTTCCACTGTCACATTAAAAGAATGGGAAAAGATGCTTCAGGAGACTTTTTATTCACGGAAATATGATTGATGCACACAAAAAAAAATTGCACAAAAGAAAAACTCTAGGTGATGTACAACGAATTTCTGGTAGAGATGCTCAAAGAAATTGCGTGCTATTTTCACAAACGTCACTCCTTACGCCACAGGTGAGCCAGCATTGCAGCTGGAGGAACATCTTTTGAGCATCTGTCGACCCATCTACATCTGTCAGGGGTCTGTTTAGAAGAAATTCGGGTCCGTGAACGGACCCTTCGCAAAATATCTTTTTATAAAAACGGACCCTTCACAAAATATTTTAACTTAAAAACGGACTCGTCACAAAATAATTTATCTTTTAATCGGACCCTACACAAATTTGTTTATCTTCATTATTGTTTTGTTAATCGAATAAACCCTTCCCAGAAAGGGAAGGGGAGAAAGACAAATGTAAACGAACTAAATTTTGTCTTCGGCAGACGCTTCTTCCTTTATCTGTATTCAGCAGTATAGACTAAATACCACATATTTATATGTTGCATCGCTAATTAAGTAGCTGCAATTGCTGTTTATTTTTTAAAATTTAATTTTTTTTAATTATAATTTTACAGTGTTGAGCATAATCTTGTATGTCTTTACAATTTAAAAACTCCTTGAAAAAGTTTTATTTGCAATAACGGACGGTATTTGCACAAATTCATAAAAGCAGGACCCTGTTTGAAAGAATGTGACTTAACGTTTATTTTATATTCACAAATTAGGAGTAATTTTTTCACAATTTTACAAAAACGGACCTTTTACAAAATGTCTGGACAGATCCCTGCATCTACATCTGTCCACAAACTTTGTAAATAACCGTGGTAGCACAGGGGTGAGAGAGCTCGCCTCCCAATGATGTGACCCTGGTGGTAGATGGATCAGGATCTCCTTGCCGTCAGGCAAACTTTGGGAGACATATATTCAGCGTGAACGACGTCCAGCGTTCTGCAATAATAAAAAAATATTAAACTTTATAATAAAGCCGTGGTGGTTCAAAGGATAGAGTGCTCGCCTCCCAATGAGGTGACCCAAGTTCAAATCTCAGTGGTGATTGGTCGACATGAATTCAGCTCCGGGCTCTGACCACAGTGCAGACATAAAATATCCTCAGTGGTAGAAGGAGTCCCCTTTCCATCAGGCCAACCGTGGGAATATTTCATGGGCTTTTCTCTTCATGTAAACCAAATGCGGGTTAGTTCCATCAAAAATTCTTCTACGAAGCAAATCCCTCCTAATACTTGATCCAGGAATTCACTTGTCTTCTGTATTGGGTTCAAAATTATAAGGCTACGGAGTTGAACAGTGGTAGTCGTAAACTCAAAAAATTGAGTCAACTGTTCAACAACGGTTATTCAATATTAAAACAAAATTATAAAACATAACTGGTTTACCATGTAGACCAGGGGTGGGCAAACTTTTCTGGTCGAGGGCCAAAAATCGAAAGAAAAAAAATTTGTTGGGCTAAATAAAAAGATCTAAAATTAAAAAAAAATACTATATGCAAATTTCAATGTAAATATTTAATGAGATGAATAAAATTGCGATTTCATTTTTAAAAGTTCCTTATATTAAGGTTCCTAGTGAGATGTACTTATTTTCAGGGACAAGGGGAAATGTTTGTCTGTTATTCTACATCTGAAATTATTTTTTCTCAGGTTCGTAGATGAAAACACTTGTTCACACATAAATAAAAGGAAGCAAACATAGCCCTGATTTTCTTGGCATGAAATATTTGGGAAACTAGCTTTGGTAATGATTTGTAAAACTCAATTTTTGGCATATTCAGAAACAATTGCTTCAGATAGCACCAATCTACGGCTATTCTATAAAGAACTTCTGCTCATTTTACCAATTGAAGCTGTCTGTGCTAGCCTCCATCAATTTATGTTTTGTAGAACAAAAATAGAGAAAGTTAAAAGGTCCGCAGTACTTAGTTAAAAAAGAAAGAAAAATAACTTTAAACAAAGTAGACAAGAAAATGGATGTATACTGTTTATATTCGCCACAGATCAGCAAGTTGAAATTCCATCGGCGGGCCGGATAAAACCTTCCGGCGGGCCACAGTTGGCCCGCGGGCCGTAGTTTCCCCATCCCTGATGTAGACAGTAGAATAAACTTTTACAGTCGTGCTGAAGCTTTCTTTTTCAAAATATTTCATTCTTGTTTCCTCCTTTTTTAACCATAAGTATTCAAACGTGTTTTGGTTCATGGTAAAACAAATTGTGGTTTTGAAGGGATAAGGCGATAATCATTTCCTATAATAATACAAAATAAAAATACCAAATTTTATTGTAATTCAATGTAAAAATTCAACTTAACTCCTTTATCAAAATTAGGTTTCCATCCATTTATGGTTTTTTTTCCAGTTTCTCCCTATCCTTATCTTTCGCTATTCATCAATAAACTCAATTACTTAATTTGCAATAGAACAAGTGCACTTACTAATAAGATAGAAAAACAACAGCTTATAGTAGAACATTATACTCATCGCATTGGAATCCTATAATCCCTTTTCTTCTCTTCTCTACCTGATCTTTACTTAGAATTCTCTATCTTTTCGGTCGATTCTCATCTTTAATCAAGATAAGTAAAAAGAAGAAGAAAAAAGAGAGTTCTTCTTATTTCATTACATCAAAGTGCTGTTAGAGAACGAAGATTTTAAGTTAGTCTGTTGAAGTACTGATTTATTTGGATATCCTAGCGACCCTAATTTAATTCAAACTAATAGTTTGTGTGATTATCGATCATAGTTTCTCTTTATAGTTTCTTTTTTTTATATGGCATGTTTAAAGCGTGTTGATGCATGTAATGTGTGTTGTCTGAGCAGTCTGTGTTTTAACAACTACTCGATAGTTGATTATATTTTGAAAAAAGATTTTTTCAATTCTTAATTAAATTAATCTTGGATGCGTTCGAAGTATATTTAAGTAAATCTGATTTTAGTTAGCCATTTTTTATTTTAACTTCGTGTTGATGGCTATGGGAGAAAATTAAATATGTTCTGCGTATCTGAGAAAATTAGGTAGAAATATATTTACCCATCTCACTGAATTAATTACTCAATTATAGTGCCTTGAAAACAGTATCATTTTTCATAATATCTGCNACAGGGGTCTGTCCAGACATTTTGTGAAAGGTCCGTTTTTGTAAAATTGTGAAAAAATTGCTCGCAATTTGTTAATATAAAATAAACGTTAAGTCACATTCTTTCAACCAGGGTCCTGCTTTTGTGAAATTGTGCAAATAGGGTCCTGTCATTGCAAAAAACTTTTTCAATGAGTTATTAAATTGTAAGGACATACAAGATTATGCTCAACACTTTAAAATTATAATTAAAAGAAATTAAATTTAGAGAAAATAAACGGCAAATGCAGCTACTAAATTAGCGAGGCAACATACAAATATTTGGTATTTAGCCTATACTGCTGAACGCGGAATATTCATTTCGGAAGAATAAAGGAAGAAGCGTCTGCCGAAGACAAAATTTAGTTCGTTTACATCTCCTCCCCCCTTCCTGAGAAGGGTTTATTCGATTAACAAAACAGTAATGAAGATAAACAAATTTGTGAAGGGTCTGATTAAAATACAAATTATTTTGTGAAGGGTCCGTTTTTAAGTTAAAATGTTTTGTGAAGGGTCCGTTAACGGACCCAAATTTCTTCTAAGCAGACCCCTGGTATTATTGTATTTCTTTAACTAAATTGCACTATACTATGGAACAACTATATCCGAAACAATTGCTTAATTTTACACATTTTTTATTATTTTTTAAAGTTGCATCAAGTTTTCACACTGCTATGATTCAATTAAATCCTTTTTTCTGAGAAACTATGAGTCAATAGTAAGAAGATAAGGTGACTTCATGCATCCTGTTTTCTGTGCAAATATTAAGCACAATTCTGTGCACCTTTGCAACCCTATAATTGCCAAACCTCTAAGTGTAGGAGCAATTTTCGTAGACTGGTTAGAATAAAATTGAACCATTTCGAGGCAACATAGTGGTAACCATCCTTTTTCCAAAGAATAAAGTTTTTCTTCAAACTGTTCCCAAATTGGTACTTTATTTTTATTTTTCAGAATTTCCATTAAATAACACCACAATGCATAAAATCACCTTAACACTTACGTTGAAATCGTTGTGTGTTTTACCAAAAACACTTTTTAAACTCAATTTTTAGATAATTTTGGCCCATCTTTCTATTATACTCATATCTACCTTAAAAGTAGATGAAAACCAAGAAAATTTCAGGCGGGGGGGGGGGCTTGACTGTTATGAAACACTAACCCACGTATCGTCTCTTTCTGAAGATTATGTTTTTATCGTGGTCGAAACAT